GCCTGCGAATCTCCGGAAAATTCGACACAAGAGCGAAAAAATAAAAGACGCTTTTCGCCAGCACCTATGACTGTATGTAGGGCTGGGCGGTAAAACGATAACGATTTACATTGAAAATTAATTTCCCTTGATATCGATATAAAACATGGTCAATATGCTTTTCAGTAGTTATCATTCTGCCATGTTTTGGTAGACGACACGAACAGCCAATGCTCCGGATCGGCTTTGCGCTGAACCAATCATGTGCTGAATTAGAACAACTGCGTAGTAGCAGGCTGCAGCTACACGCCACCATAGCGCTTTAACACATGACGCCGACAGAGTGCTACCCCCGGCAGAAATGCAGTTGAAGGCTCAACAGATGACGACATTGTTGACAACACTGGCATGAAAACATCGGTGTTGTGGAGGTATTTTGTTTTTTTAGTTTGGACATGAAACGGAGTAATGTGCATCGAGTTCATGTTAAATTTAAGAGTAATAGGGAACATTCAAGATTGACAAGTGGTTTTTTATATCATGATATTTATCAATATCGACTTATACGAAAAAAATATATTGTGATAAACTTTATTCCATATCGCTCAGCCCTAATTGCACGGGTCGTTTCCTTCTCTAGTAAGGTAACATTAATACTAAATGATATAAACAGGTTTCTTTTTCAGGTAATACCTTTCATATTTTAATCAAATCCTTACGCTTATGTTACAATGAGTCCTAAACTGGCCTGTTTGCAACTATTAAAAGCAACTGGTGCATCATGAGACCAAACATATAACCAAGGAGACCCAAAAATCATAAATCAGGTAAAATTGAACTCATTTTTTAATAAAACAACAATCCTTCAGTTTTGATATTTCCTTATTTCTTTTGTAAAGTGGGGTTGTGCATTTTCCTTCCTTTCCAGTTGGACTCCCTGTAAGTCTTTCCCCCCTTCTCCTCCTAGGTCCTCTTCCCAGAGGAGCGCCCTGATGGCTGATGTATATTTGATGAGCGGGTGCTGGTGACCCTCTGGAGAGCCGAGGCTCCAACAGGACAATGGGCCTCGCTCAGGTTTCCTGCTGGCTGTCACCCACGCCGCTGCTCTTTTTGTGGCCAAGCGAGCGAGTCAGGGCTGGAGTTTCAACCCAGACCAGAGGCAGAGTTACAGCAGGAGCATCAGGGTTCAGATAGTTTTCTTAAATATCGTGACATTTGAAAGGATTGCACCTTGAGTTGAAAATATTACTGGACTATTAGCCAAGTGTTGTGTTGTTGAAATGAAAGTTTTCAGCTTCTATAAAACATTCATGTATAAAATAAGCTCTGGATTTGGCTTTGAGTTTTCTGAACAATCTTATGACCAATCTCCTCGGGTAGTTTTCATCATTCTGCATGAAAAGCCGTTCAAACAAACACAGGATGGTCAACAAGAGTCAGTTTTTCACAAACTAAGAGCTGCGTCTCATAAACGGGGTTTTTACAGATATCTGAAGTTTTCTACGGAGTGGACGAGCTTCTTTTTGGAAACTTCTGGGTCTTTTCCTCTGTGAGAAGAGGTTGTTGAATATGGCGTCAAAAGGACATAAACTCTTTCACTTTGTTGGAGATGGATCTGAGTTATCAGGTTGGATTTCCAATTTGGTTTAGCACTGACTGTTTCCATCTCTGCATCTTGAGATATTCTTCAGACTCTGTCAGAATATACTGACAGTGGAGCCGAGGACGTGGATATCAAATCATCTTCAACAGGTTTTGGTGAATCCTCAATGTAACACATGAGAGGGGGAGGGTATTTGTTCTATTTGGCTTTTTGTAAGTAGCATTATATTGGGGTTCAGGTGCTTTCTGGCATCATTTTTAATCTCCTACTACTCAATTTCATCGTCACAGTTGTTGTTTCGGTTCAAACTGGAAGTACTGAAAAGTTAAAATGCTGTTAACCAGAAATCTCTGGACATTGGTGAGAGTCTAAAACTGTTTGGGAAATAGATGCACATCATACTGACATTGATTAAACGTTTTGGGACTGCTGCATGTTTCTGAATATCCAACTGGGTTATTCTTAAAATCAAAAAGGACATTTGACAAAATAAGCAGTCTGGAGCTTGTCATGATTTAGACCATCATAGTGTAACATTAAGTAAAGCTCATAAAGTGCATTTCGTCGCATTAATTTGATTTTCAATTCAAGACTGGTAAGAACTAAAGAAGTATTTATTTGATATTAAATCATCGGGGTCAGTTTTTGGTCAGTAAAAATCTGGGATTTATTCTTCTTATCCAAAAGATATTAAAATACACAAAAACAAAGATATGAGCACACCAAACCCAGGCTGCTTTACCTTCAGAGTTTATTATTCAGATCAAATTCACTCTTATTTAAAAAAAAAATCTATAAAATACAGAGCATAGGGAACAAAAATATAAAAAAGGTAAAACATTAGGATTAAAGTCTTAGATTCAAGAACTGCTATTATTATTATTATTATTATTATTATTATTATTATTACTACAGCCTCATGATCCCACTAAAGACGGATTATTTGGAGACCCACGCCCCCTCTGACCCCTCCCCCCCTGAGGGAGCGCCTTTAGGTGGTTCTTGGCGTAATTATTCCGTTTTATCGCGCGCGTGTGTCTGCCCGCCGGAAATCCCCTCTTTGATTGACAAGCAGCCGCCCCGGTGACCCCGGGCAGCTCATCTGTAAATATTTCATCGTCTGTTTGTGCTCTTTAGTTCTCGTTCAGGCCTGTTTATTCTTTAATTGAGAGGTGTGTGCTTGTGCGTGCGTGTGTGCGTGCGTGTGTGTGTGTGTGTGTGTGTGTGTGTGGGGGGGGGGGGGGGGGGGGGGGGGGGGGGGGGGTGTAGTAACTGCAGCCAGAAAGTAAATGAAGCATGATTAATTAATGTATTAATTGCCAAGGAAGTGAATGGGGTTCAGTTGGAGGAATTCCTTCGTGTCTCACATCAATTAATCATTTTGTGTTGAATCTCACTCACTCACTCACTCACTCTCTCACTCATTCATTCACAGTCAAGCGCGGGACCACTTTAGGGACCAATCACTAAGAGGGAAACATGTCGATCAAGCAAATTTGGTCCAAACTGTGAAATGACGAAGTTTCAGCCATAATCAGCTCAGTCATGATCAATAAAGGCCTATTATCGATAAGTTTTTTTTTTCTTCTATGTTTTTAAATAAGCAGATGGTGTTTTTTTAAACAAAGAGGAAAAACTGAGCAGAAGAAAAAACGACAATCCAACTTTACTAACTTGTGCGTTTTGAAGCGTCTCTGCAGCACTGTAAAAAACAGACGTGCTGATTAAATACAAAATACAGACATGTCAGAGGCTTCAGGGAAACAACAACAACAACAAAAATAAAAGAAAGAGACTCAGTTCAAAATTCAAATATGAACTTGCAAAATAAATCTGTGTTAGTGAGCAAAAGGACTGAAAAGGTTTGCTTAGACTGCCCTGAGTTTGACGTTTGACTATTCATCTTCAGCTTTGATTAAAGGTTCAGTGTGCAGCATTTAGCAGAAATGGAATATAATTATCAAAAGTATGTTAAAGAAGTTTAAAACTATCTGTCCTATAATCTAATTGTATTTTGTTGACTCAGAATGACTCAGGTACGCACAAAAAGGAGCAGATCCCCGTCTATGACCATGTTGCTACTGTAGCACAGAATGGACAAACTAGTGAACGTGTGCGTTTCCGTATTTAGTTACTGTTATATGCAAAATAATTTGTATATGTTTCTTTCATGTTAAAACTTCACAAATGAGGTCATATTTATCATGCATCACAGCAGCTTCTTGTCCCTGAAGGCCACCATAGCTTCACCAGTGGGAGGGGTGAGTAAAGGAGCTCACCTGTTACTTTTACAAAAACTCTATGTCCATTTCCACACACTGTAAACTGAGTAGAGTTGAATTAGAGATTTAAAGAAATGAGTACAAACATTGCCCATGAAAAAAAAGTTTCCCTTCATACAGTTTGCTGTGCTGTCTGGAAAGCGGACACTTCTACTACAGAGCCATGCCGTTGTAATACATGCAAAATGTAGTTTTTTGCTGAATTATGTAAGTTTTCCTGAAAAGTCATTCTCTGGATGGCAGCATACTTTGCACAGGTTCTGGCTGCTGGAAGTATTCTTATTTCTACACACCGTACCTTTAATACAGATATTTTAATTTATCAGAAGACAAAAGCTCCAAATTCCAGAGTTTGTCTTTTTTAATTCTCACAAAATCTGAATCATTTCTGAAGCGTATCCGAGATTTATTACCTGGACAAATGCAGAGTGTCCAAATATGTCAAATGTCATGCACATTCATAAACATGCCCCATGTCATACCCTGGTAGGCTGGAGTGCCAAATCTGCACATCATCTTTGTTAAATCTGGCATCAGCCATATAGGAATAATATAGTAGTTCTCTATTCTAAAGGTGTCTAAATAGTACATTTCTGGAGCTTAGATTTTCTCCAGATCTGACTTTTTGCGATACTGTGGTCTGACAATATCTAATATGAATTTGAGCATCAAATTTTGGGTCATATTCAGAGACCTTAAAGTAAAACCATTCCTGGATTCAGTGACTCCTGAGAACATCCGTCATGGATTTGATTCAGTCTGTTTCCTTGTTCTGAGTATTTTCTTTTCTATCATTGTTTTGTAAAGTTCACGTGTACTCGATTACAGGAGATTCTTTGTCAAAACAGACCTAAAAAGCATGATTTCCTCTTCGATTTAGATTTCTTAATTTGTGGTTTCAGGATTCCTCCCTAACTTGTCTTGTTTCCTGCAGATCCCACACTTATTTCAGCCAGCCTTTTTTAACAGTGCACCCACGCAGCATCCTCCAGTCTCTCCCCTCGAGCAAGCCAGACACGCTTGGGGGCGTGGCTTCTTGCAGAGAACTCCACGTGGTTGGTAGACTCGTCCACCAATGAGGAGGAGTCTGCGCGTGAGAGGCTGTGATATAGGAGCTGGAGGCGAGGAGCATCTTTATCACAAGAGTCTTTACAGCCGATTAGGAGGCAGGAGAGCCGCAGGAGCAGCCCGGGAGTTACCTCTCCTTCTCTGTTTCGGTGTTAAAAAAAAAACACACCTGACTGCGCGTGCAACCCGACCGCGGCAACTTTTCCTGAAAAGTTTGTCCCTGGCTGGTTGATTTTCCTCTCCGAGGCGTTTCTTTGCAGAAATTAACCAACACGGAGCCGATCGAGGAAGAAGGACAACGACCCTCCCTCACTTCTGCAATCATGATGTCGATGAACAGCAAGCAACCTTTCAGTATGCACCCCATCCTGCACGAGCCCAAATACACGCCTCTGCACTCGAGCTCGGAGGCCATCCGGAGGGCCTGCCTGCCCACACCATCGGTGAGTCCAAAAACTGTCAATGCTGGCAGGTTCTGTCAAAAGAAATCTGCTCAAGTCTGTATTTTCTAAATGGATAGACAAGAAAAAGTACAAAATATTATATTTTTTACTTTGTTTGGCCTCAAAATGTGCCATAGTTTGCCAAAATGCGCCTTTCTACACACGAAATAATTCTGCCTCGAGTTTTTCTTTCAATATAAATTGTAAACACTGGCGTTTATACAACTACATCAGTTAAAAAATGTATATGAAGTTTGCTCGAGTAAGAACGGGGGAGGACATGGTCTCGTTTGGAAATCGCGAGGAGATTAATAATCCTAACTGCTTCAAATGACAGATTATGAATTAAAGAGATAAATAATTTTAAAAGATGTGGATTTGACAGAAGGCAACACGAGCAGCAGCTAAATATACAAAGAAGCCCCCAAAGTAGGCCTATTCTACTTATTTCTTGTCAGAAGTCTGTGCGTAAAGACGCGCAACATCTCCGAGAGGCCAAATCTTTCAGCCTAGTTAGCGTGGACCTGCTGCTGCTGCTGCTGCTGCTGCTGCTGCTGCTGTGAAAAAAGAGCGTGGACGAAAGATGGAGGAGGCAGCGTGGATCCTCTGAGCGCATGTTATCTCATATTGTCCCATTCATATTCAGACTCACACTGGTCTCATTTCATTGTCCGCAGAAATTATTCAGGAGATCGTAAATATTAATTTTAAATGAATATCCATCCACGCTGACACACTTTCCACACATTGTTGGGCCGATTCACTGATGGCCAAGCTGCAGTCTGTTACATTTTTGAGAAGTAGAAGAAAAACTTGAATAACAAACGAAAAAAAAAAAGTTTGTGATTCTTGTTTGTGTTAAAGCTGTGAAAACGCACAGATTGGACATACTGTGCGTAATTTGAGAGGTGGCCCAAAAAGGATCATATACTTAATTCCCCTCTTTATAACGACTGAATCACTTTATAAAGAGGTACTTATACTTTAAAACGATGCTTGCACGTATCACCATTTTATCTAATTATATATTAAATTTGATTATAGTCAATGTCTAAGATACCATAATCTACAGGATTTCTTTTGTTGTTTTTTCTCCTCCAAACTTTCTACTCGCGTTTATCCATTCAGAATTAATTTTACTTTTAAGAAAGCGTAACAGAATTTGTTCTTAAATGAATTTTTATATGCAGGGGTAAATGAAGCACCTGTTGTAAAACATCGATGCATCTTCCTTGTAATTGAAATACAGAGGAAAACAGTGAACAGTAGGAAAAGGAGAGAGAAGCAGCGGACGAAACTCCGCTCTAGTGTCAGCCCTCCCACCCACCAACAAGATACTGGAAACCCATGTGGGGAAATAATAAACCCCCTAAATTCTGTAAAGGACCCACACTGCTGTATTATAAAGAAAATTGAAAAGCCACATCTACTCAGAGGAGTAAACAAGTCTCAAACATCAGTGCTGCAGCAGCAGTCAGCCCAGTGAGATCTACAGGAGCAGAAAGCTACACACATCATGACATTTAGTGCACTCTTACTCTTAAAGGGGGCTTCAGAAGTATCATCAAAGTGTGTCATTAATGGTTGCCTTTTTAAGTTAAAAATATAGATGTGATTCATCCTCTCGTAGTCAATTTCATTTTTTTTCTAACTTTAAGAAAGACGTGAGATTTGCGTTCAGCCATACAGCAAGAAAAAAAATGATTTATAAACTTATAAAATCCACAAGAAGGCAAGAAATAATGCACATGTTGGATTCAGTCTCAAATACTGCAGTTAAAGGGCAAGGCTGCAGTTAACTCAGAGACTGGTGACAGTAATAATAATACACGTTACTTTTTACTCCAGCAGAAGTAAAACTACTGCTCAGTCAATCTTGCAAATAAAACCAACTTTACGTGAAATTTTCTGAAAGCACTTTGTCTCTAATATAGCAGAGAAGGTGGGGGAGTAATTAATTGATTTGATAAACAGCAGTAATATCCTGTGTGAAGGAGGTCTGACTCTATATCCAAGATGAAAATAATAATACTGCATTTAGTCAGTACTGCACTTTATAGGTCCTTAATTAAGTCCTGATGGGCTTTACAGATATGCCTTTTAAGACAAAACTGACTGTAACGAGTACAAACAGTTTATTAAATCCAAAATAATAAAATAATTTAAGAAACCTACGAAGACTATTTTGGCCTGAAATGTGTTAAAACAGCATCTTTATGTCAAGGCAGCTTTTACCAAATTCAATAAGATATTTTGATTACATTTGAGAGAAATTTACCCGGTAAAATGTTTTTTTTTGCAGTGCTGACATCCAATCCGCTTTATTTATACAACACATTTTAAAAACATAAAGACACAGTCCAATCAGCTGGACTGTCTTTATGTTTTGGGTGATTTTTGTAATATATTGTTGCACAATGTTTTTCACCTTTATAATTTAAATTGTTGAACATTTAAAAAGTCAAAGTGAATAAAAAAAGATACTAAATTCTGTTAATGTAAGTAAATGAAATTAATTACTTTCAACCTGGTGGCCGATGCTGTATCGGTTGGAAACGGGGCCAAATGGTTACGCGTGTGTCAAATTCACTGATAAGAGAAAGCGACTTTTAAAATGTATTTTCAAACCTCTTCCGTTTAGATAAAAAGAAGCTTAAATGTAAAAGGAATAACGTGAGTGTTTGAGGCTCTGTTTGTTGGTTCTCCCTCCTCTAACCGGCCTCTCTCCGCTCCTCCCGCAGCTCCAGGGGAACATCTTCGCGGGCTTCGATGAGACTCTGCTGCAGAGGGCCGAGGCTCTGGCCGCGGTGGACATTGTGGCCCAGAAGAGCCACCCGTTCAAACCGGACGCGACCTACCACACCATGACCACCATGACCAGCATGACCTGCACCCCCACCTCCTCCTCCGCACACCTGCACCATCCATCCGTGCTCACGTCCCACCACCACCCTGCACACCACCAGCCCGCGCAGGGCCTGGAGGGAGACCTGCTCGACCACCTCACACCGGGCATCTCCTTAGGAGGCATGCCGGGCTCAGACGTCTGCTCCACGGCCTCGCACACCCACGCAGCCCACATGTCGGCCATCAACCACATGCAGCACCACCACCACCCACAGTCAATGAACATGCACCCGCACGGGCTGGGCTCCCACAGCTCTCTGGGGGGCGGGGTAGACGCGGAGCCGGATCCCAGGGAGCTGGAGTCTTTCGCAGAGAGGTTCAAACAAAGGCGGATCAAACTCGGGGTGACGCAGGCGGACGTGGGCGCGGCCCTGGCCAACCTCAAGATCCCAGGGGTGGGATGTCTAAGCCAGAGTACCATCTGCAGGTTCGAGTCCCTAACGCTGTCCCACAACAACATGGTGGCCCTGAAGCCGATCCTGGAGGCCTGGCTGGAAGAGGCGGAGCGCGCGCAGAGGGAGAAGATGGCCAAGCCGGAGATCTTCAACGGGGGCGACAAAAAGCGGAAACGGACGTCTATCGCGGCCCCGGAGAAGCGCTCCCTGGAGGCCTATTTCGCCGTGCAGCCGAGGCCCTCCTCGGAGAAGATTGCAGCGATAGCCGAGAAACTGGACCTGAAAAAGAACGTGGTCCGGGTTTGGTTTTGCAATCAGAGGCAAAAGCAGAAACGAATGAAGTTTTCTGCGACACACTAAGACCTGCGGAGGAAACTCTGCCTCGTTTACATAAAGACAAATCAGAGACACGCTGCTGCTGCTGCTGCTGCTGCTGCGCACTGTCAGAGAGAACACAGGGTACACCGCTGATGCTCCTGAAGACTGGACCTTTTTGTTTCTTACTTATGACACACCCACCTTCCTTTTTTTTGAAGATTCAATCTATTATTAGATTATATCCCACCTTAGACCCTTAATTAAGCTGAATATGGAAAATTACCACACTACATCATCTTTGTCATTCACTCAAGAAATGTGAAAATTTGGGACTAAATTTCGGACTGAGTGTCCTGATTAAATTCCTCTCAGTGTTGTCCAACTTTTACAGGAACATCTCTTTCGATGTCCTAAATCAAAGGTTGTTACAGACAGTATTTAAAACAGGCAGATGTAACGTTTTATCCACGTGTCCACCATGTCCACGAACTCGGGGTCTTTAAGGTGTCATTATCTCGGTTCTGTGGGCTTTTGATGGCGGACACCTGACTCTCCACCTTTTCGAAAAACCACATCAGGAACTTTTTTTTTTCGGGGAAGGTTCGTCTTCTTTAACAAGATGGGAGAGAAGCCGATTTCAGCCAGAGATGAGGAAAAAAACATTCAGAGGAGGAAGATTTTATTGTCAATATGCATTTCGAGGCAAAAAGTCCAAAATAGTGTTAGAATTTTGAGTGGATGAAATAAATCATCATTGAACTGGAAATATCGAGAAAACAAGGTCCTGTTATGATCCGGTGATAAAAGTAATTCTGCGTACAAAGTTAAAAAAAATTAAAATGACTAATTATTAAGTTTAAATTTTGTGATTGAGTCAAGGAATCGTCGATGTCAAGATTTGGTCTAACTCCATGTTTGGCTGCTAAGTGGTGTCACTAGGCTACACTTTAGCACAACACCACTTCCAAGTCGCTTTTTAACACTTTCTGACTTGTTAATTGTATCAGTACCAAATATATATATAAATATAAACCTGTAAAACGTGTGGTGAGGATGTAGAAATGCACAATAATTAAGCCGGTTTGGAAATATGCTCTGCTATCTGACATCCAACACCTAGCATACAAGTTTTAAACGATAGCGCAAGATGCTAGCTCGGCTAATATCTGTAAATACGGGTTCACAAACGTTCACAAACACATTTAACAGCATTGACCTGTTTTAGTTTTATTTTGTGGTTTTAAGTTGCGTCAATTAAAAAAAGTGCTCATCTACTCGACTAAAGCAGCTAGCTAAGGAATAGCCTAGCAGCCCCTCTTGCCTTTGCTAACACGTTAGCTTAGTTCGCCACAGATTGTGTGCCGCCATTAGTTACTGCGACCATTTATCACTAATATAGCAAAGTTTTCACAAACAATAGTTTCCAACCTTTTCTCATCCAGATTTCCATTTTATTTTGTGAACCTAAATTTAATTTTCTCATATTTTTCTAACTTTAAACTTCATCCATCAGTGGCCTATTTCTCAATCTTTGATACTCGACCTTATTCTTTCAACTATCAATTTTTTACCCTTGACTTTGTCTTTCGCCGGTTTGTGCGTAATGATTAAAAAAATAGGCTAATCTACCTCCTCCAATGTTTCATCCTCACCCCTGGCCCCAAATCTCTCCTGTAAGCCCCGGATCCAGCAGTGTACCTCTTATTCTACTCTGACAGTGAGGACGGAGCACCAGGACTGGGAGAAAGACTAAGACCCTGTCCAAAAAACCTGAGACTCACATCTTGATGCTTCTCCGCAGAGCTGAGACCGACCCCTCTTCGAGATATCACCATATTGGAAGAAAAGGCGCTCCGTCTCATTCATTCTTATGGCAATTATTGTACAAAAATAAGCATAATAATGACGGGAATCGAGGACTGACCACCCTCCTAGTCTGAATAGTTTTTTTATATCTATCATTGTACATACTTGTGAATATGTTGCACCTCCGTGTGGAAAAGCTCATTGAAATGTATTGTCCTTTTCTCCCAGGTGTTTAGTTAGTTTTTATTGGGGGCAGACTGAGTTTAAAAAGTCGGTCTGCGTCTAATTCCTGAGGCACAATAACTCCTGTAATCCATTGCATGGTTTACTCGTTCAAGGGGGGGAGGGGTGTTTTCTGTGCGTCCAAAAAATAACCTCCCCCCCAAAAGTGAATGCATTGCAATAAGAAGATAGACACACACAGAGAGACACTACCACACGCACGAACACACACATTCACACGGTATAGCTGTGTGGCTACCTCATTACGCAAGTGTTGGCACGTTCATGGTGATTTTAAACACACACACATACACACACACACTATCTGAAAAAAGGCGAGTAGGATCATTTTTGGTTTATTCTTTTAAAAATGTGTTTCGGTTTTCTTTGTGTTGATCTTCCACTGGTTTCATGGTGCATTAGGCCTAGAAGACTCACTGATGTGTAAACCTGTTGTATGTTCACTGCAATGATGCTTTGACAATCAAATTATGATTATTATTACCCTTATTTTATTATGATTAAGATTCAAACTCCATCTCTTTTCGTCATTATGGAAACGACCCCGTTTATTATTATTATTATTATTATTATTATTATTATTATTATTATTATTATTATCACTGACACCTTTGTGGAGCGCACTTTGTACATATTCTGATGAAGGACAATGGACAGCCTTATTTATATACATACTTTTCCAACACTTAACACTTAAAAAACGTTAAGATTTGTTTTGTTTTTCTCTACGTTGCCCTTATTTATTTATTAACTTTATCTTTATTTATTTTGGAGGAGTAAAAAAAAAAAATCATATTTCATTTGTGAAAGTGTGCTTTAAATGTGTCTGTGTAAGCGACCGAAGCTGAAATAAACCGTGCACGTTTTACTTCACTCTCTGACAGACTCTCTTTGGAAACATAAATGACTAAAAGCATGGTGTTTTTGACTTTTTGATGGTACATATATACGGGCTACATACACATATGGGCAGATTTTTGCTGCTTTCAAACAGATACACTCAAAATATGCAGCATTTCCACTCGTTTGGTATATCTGGTTAAAAGTCTGTGCGTAATTACGCACCGAGGTATCTCGGAGGGGCCAAACTACAGTGCGATCTTTTAAGTTGTGAGCTCTGCTGCTTTGAAATGAGACCATACGCATTGTCTCAAAAATGTGCGTAATTTTATTTGGTCTGATCAGCTTTTAATCGGCCGATCTGTGTTTGCTGACAGAGGTGTTAAAAGCATTTCCAAAAGATAGATTTAATGGACCCATGCAATTTGAGCTCTGTGTATGTGTGTGTGTGTGCGTCTGTCTCCTGGATACAGTTGGTGTGTGCATGTGTGTTGGGTTTGCATGTCCCGTGTGTGTGTGCAGGGAGAAAGAGGATGAGGAGGGCAGCTGCTGCCTTGAAACAGGAGAAGCCTAGAGGTGAAGGAGGTCCGTCTGAAAGCTGCTTCCCAGCGGTGATGAATAGGATTTGATACTTGAGTGACTCTCGTATTGATCAGCTTTGCCGGCTATGAAGAGAACACACGGCTCTATCACATCAAGGAGGAGGCTCGCAGATCTGCTGCTTGTAGTTTTGAACAAACGTTTGTGTGAGGTGGTGAAAATCCTCCGAAACACTGAGAGGGAGGAGTCGAGACAGACTTACAGGTTCTGGAAGTTTGAACAGGCGAAAAGCGAGAGAACAAACTCAGCTTCAACACGAACAGTACGGGAGGAAAAAACAATCCTTTTCTCTCTTATCTGAGCTAACATATTGTAAATAAGTCTAACACCACCAAATGAACTCAAATATCCTCAACTAACTTTTTTCACCTAATAGTTTCGCTATAAAATAAAATAAGAGTCCAGATTTTTCTTTTCAACAAGAACAAAAGCAGAGCATATATCTGAAGTACTGATGTCACCAGAGCCTCTGACTGACCCCAAAACTGTGGACAATATTAAAGGTGGTGTGTCAAATTTAGAAAGCATTTATTTTAACAGCCTCAAGCCTGAAAACAAACCACTCTTCTACACATCTATACAAATTCAAATGTCTGGAGCTGGTCTAGAACACATATCTTCATGATATTTACAAAGACCAGACCCACTCGTATCCACCCATCATGGAAATCTTTGCAGCATTTAGCAAATTAAAGCGGAGAGGAAAGTTAAATGCAAACAGTGTTGTACATGAAGTTCTGGCTGCAAAATGTTATATAAAGTTATCCACATAGAGCTGCATAAAAATGCCTGCTTTACGGCCTGTTTGTTGTGTTTTTGTGCTGAACATTTGGTATCCTGCTATAGCTCACTTGTGTCGTCTCCACTTAGTGTGTTTTCTGGAAGTCATGAGCTTGTTTTAATCGAAAAAGAACTTACTTTTGCATATTTGTCTCCTTTTCTTTTAATGTGACACTTCAGCACCACCTTTACACCCTGAAATGGTTCTGTCCATCTATCAATCAGTGCCAATAAACAAACAGTACTATGAAACCAATGTTCAGCTTGGCAAAGACCCATTCCTAACAAAAGCTAAATAAAAAGTGGTTATACACACAAATTTAAACGCTCAGCCTTCACACATCTCGCCTCTGATGGTTTTTCTTGCTTTTATTTATCTTAAAAAGACATCAACTTAAATTTAAGTCTATTTTATAACCATAAAAAACCCTCAGAGGAGCTTTAAACATACATTTGACTTGTTAAATGTAGCTAAATATGATGAACTGCGCCTTTAACTCACCAATCAACCGTAAGACAACATTCAGCCTAATGACATTCCTGTAAGAAACGAAGCTCGACTCCTTTTCAATTAGGAGATCAAGAGAGCGACGACAAATAACCTTGTTTTACATTTCAAAGCAGAGTATTGTTGATGGGAGAAAAACACGTCATGAATGATTATGAGGAGGCTGAAGGTCCACGGGATTTACATCCCCTCTTTAGGAGAGTGTGGAGTGAATGCAGAGGAAGACTGTAAAACAAACAATGAAGTTTTAATATAAGAACTTGTCATAATCTCATGAGAGAGATAGACATAGAGATAGATAGACAAAACAGACTAAAATCTACTTACTGGCCGACTCTGGATGTGGTTAAAGAGTGTGTCTAAAAATAACATCTAAATTTAATCCAGCGGTCAAACCTGCATGAGATCAATGTCTCTCTTTTCCACTTTTCTAACCCCGTCGCTTTGGTTCAGCAGGTGGTTTGGGCCTGTAAACTCGTTATTAATGAATAATAAATATCGGCTGTTATGATACTATTGATTTTTGCGAGTGTTTGTTAAGAAGCTGCTTTTCTCTGTCGTACAACAGAAGCTCAACCCCCCTACCCCCTCTGAGCAACTCAATACAGGCCTTTAAAAAAAAAAAATCAGCCCCTATGAGAGGGAGATGAAGAGCCAACAGGTCAGACAGCTGAAAGACCGAGGGAGAAACGTGACTTTTATCACATTTGTGTTTGAGCTTTCAAAAAGAAAAGAGACAAAAATTGAACTTTCTTTCTCCTACGAAGAAGAATACGAAGACTTCGATAACTAGAACCTTCAAAATCTCATTCAACACCTTCTCAAGACGTTACTGTTTACGAGTTTTGACATCCAGATAAAAAATGGATGACTACCTCTTACAGCAGATACAAAATAAACTCAATTAACTGAGCATTGGAGGGAAAAATCATCACAAACAGCTTATAACTAAGAAAATAAAGTCATGAAAAATAACATCAGAAGTTATTTAACAAAACAATAAAACTTTTCTCTCAATACTCTCTGCAGAAGTTTTGAAAAACAAGAACTTTTTGTCTGCATTTCTACAAAGTCTGACATATAAAATATCAAACTTGGTGTATTAAAGGTGCAGACTTGATAGAATATGAGATTCAACTTAAGTAAGTTTGAATTAGTTTATGATGACATGAAAATAATTGTGTTTACAACCTGAAATGAAGTTTTTACAGCTTAATAAGAGCGGGTCCCTCCTCATAGAGCTGGCTCTCTTGAATTGGAGCACAGAAGCGGCAAACTCATTTGTGTTAATAGACATTTTTCAGTGTTAAAACCTGACAATACTCCTCATGCATCACAGGAGCTTCCTGTCCTTAGAGGCCACTGTAGCGCTTTAATCTAAGGTGACCAGACGTCCCCGATTTCCGGCGACAGTCCCTGTTGTAGATGACCTGTACCTGGCTAAAGCTGTCCCCAGAACAAAAATGTTGTGTGTAAACTAGAACAATGTTTATTACGGTAGCCGAGCAGGTAGGAAGCACGAGTAAGCATGTTGCACGCAGTCCTTAAAAACAGTTTTTACGGGGAGTTACAACGGGGGGCGTGCGCTTCTGCTAAGTGGCACCGAGATGTTGTCTGTGAAACAGAGGGCCTGAAATCACATTTTGCTGCGCACCCCTCACCCCCTGGACTGTTCCAGGATTTCATTACAGAAATCTGGTCATTTTACTTTAATCTGGACTCGGGTTGTTGAGCAGCTTTACAAAATAAAGTATAAATAGGAATAAAAAATAAATGTATTCACTGCCTTTGGGGATAAAAGTTTTCCAGTTTCTCAGCAGGACTCTTCTACTACAGAGCCATACTGTTGTAATCCCAGCAGAATGTGGTTTGTGACATTATGAAGGCCTTCCCTGAAAACGTCATTGTCTGGATGGCAGCAGATGTTGCTCCTGAACCTGAAGATACTGTCCAGCATTCATGGAGCCTTCACAGATGTTGAAGCTGCCCATGACGTGTCTACAGGTGTTTTCCACTCATTTCCCCTTTAATGCGCCTGCGCCGGCAGAAGTCACAGCCTGATATCACTCTCTTATTTTAACTTCAGCACAGATAGATAAAATTAACTTGTATTGTTGTGTATTTGTCAATATTTAGAGATATTTTCTGCCCGGCAGACGGTGGCTGGCATGTTGCTCTATAACAAAGAATGTAGTACATGGCTTCATCAAAGTTTAATCGAGGAGTGGCTCTCCAGTTGAAGCCTATAAATTATATATAATTGACTGTGTAATCAATGTGAACAGTGTATCAGGCTTCCCCCAGACAAAGTGACGGGATGCTAGTTATACAATCAACAAAAACAAGCGCACAGTCGTACTTCTACATGAATAAAGGTGAAAAAATGTTACTTGTAGTCTCTTTATTTTCAGTTATGACTAAATTATCAAAACCATAGAGCTACTTTTTCCTTCTAAATCAGTGACAACAGAATGCTGTGATTTTGGAGGCCTCTGTCTACATCCTGCTCAGCACCTGTTCAGTCTAAAAGAGTTGATGTGAATTATTTAAAACTACAAAAGAAATGACGCTGTCTCCCCTCAATTGGCTGCAGTTTTCCATGTGATCTGTCCTCCTCCAGACTCCACCCAGGATAGTGGCTGCTGCTGCTGCTGCTGCTGCTGCTGCTGTTGTTGTGCATGAGCGGATAAAGCAGCTTTTCCCAGGATGGCCCTAGTTAATTGTTTGATTTAAATAATTAAGACACGGAGGCCTTGTTCTCCTCCGCTGAGTTTTCCTGTATCAGATCCAAACAAGAGCGAATCAGACTGCAGCTCAAACAGGCCTCATGCTCAAAGTCAGCCAAGTGACTCCAGACCGTTTGCAGCCAGAAAGGCATTATCCAGTCTGGCTACTTCAGGACGGTTTTTGTTAAGCAGAGAGGTCAGCTGTGATGCAGCCAACAAATCAAATAGACTGTTTGCCAGAGCCAACATTGCAAAAGTGGGATTTTTGATTAGAGGTAAATAATGCTGCATATTCTGCAGAAATCTATCCACTGAACTAGTCATGCCTCCTTCTTTAAAGCATTATCTGTTGTATGCAGCCTGACCGGATTTTTCGGACCGGCGAATATTTTCTCATTTTCGTCTCGCTTTTTCGCTTA